ATACCAGAAATTCCAAACAGAAAGTGAAAATAAACAGAACTATGCAAGATATCAATCAGTTTTACAATCTCCAGAAGAGTGGGATCTTGTATTACTATTATAAGATGAGTGTGACAAATTCTAACCAACTACTTTGAAATCAATATTTAAAACTAAATAGGTAATAAATACGCCCTTTATTTCCCTGTTTGCTGGTTGCTACCATTTTGATATAATAGCAACACTAATTAAAAAATCAACTGAAGAATATCTCCGATCTGTCAAAAAAAATCTACCGCTTCGAATGTTTAGATTATTATTAAATGAAAAGTGTTAAATTGTTCAATTTGCTATTTATTATAATATGTATTGTGTTGTGTGAGATTGCAGAAGTGTTTGGGAACCAAATTCCAGCAATAAATTTCACAGGTACCTAAGTCTATTACATTATGCCAATACCGAAATAAACATACCTACTTATTCCTATATTTTTATGTTGTAATCATAATAAAACGTTAGTATTTATAAATCATAGTGTCCTGAGGCTATAAATTAACGATATTCTTGTTTTATTCACTACATTTGGTAGTACCATATTCAGCAGTTTATTAAATTAAAATAATATAAATTTTGGTTTTGTAGGGTAACCATTATCACTACACTTGAGATATTTTGAGAAAGTTAAAATACATAAGTACCTATTATTGTAAATATTAATTACAAAGTTCCAAATATGAAAATAAGTTTATAATAAATACTGTAGTAGATCATGATGATTAGATGTAGAAAACCTATTTAATAACAGCTATCTAGCAGCGGTCTTATACCTTTGTTTATGTTTCAACTTTCCGAAAGATGTCATTAAAAGAAATTCCTTGGTTGTCCATTATACTGTCACAAACGCTCTCGAAACAGAACCGCGAATGTGCTAGAGATCGAATTTGCCAGAGCACCGCGGGTCGCGATAAAAGTCGAGTAAGGTGGCTCATTCTAAAATGAGCCTTATGCAGTGCGACGTAAAGGAGAAAGTGCAACGATATCTGCACTCGTTTACAAGTTATGCGTGTTGCTTGCGTAGGTATTTCGTACTCGCGGGTGCTAGGTAATTCTCAATTTAACAGGTACTTTCTAGAACTTCTTTTTTTTGCTTTTTTGAACACACACCAATTAGCCTAGCCCCAAAGTAAGCACTGTAATGCTTGTGTTATGGGATACTAGGGTAACGGATAGAATACATATACTGTACATATATAAGTATATTTTATATAGAAATATATATTTAACATCCATGACTGGAGTACAAATGTTCGTATTCATCACACAAACATCTGCCCCCACCGGGATTCGAACCCGGGACCTCTCGAGTCGGCGACACCATGAAACCCGGCCGGCGCGGCGTTCAAACCACTCGGCCACGCCACGGAGGTCGTCAAAGAAGAACTTCGACTTTCGACGGTACAGTTTATGTATTCTATCCGTTACCCTAGTATCCCATAACACAAGCCTTACAGTGCTTACTTTGGGGCTAGGCTAATTGGTGTGAGTGTTGGAAATATTTATTTATTTATTTACTTACTTTCTAGAATGCATCGATCGGCGTATATAATAAGGGCGATTGGCGCCGCGCAGAGACAGTTGAGTTTCAACAGCGATTTCGGAGCGAATCCAAAGGCGATCAAAGTGCAACAAAAGTGTTCAAGTGAGATTGTTTAGAGACTTGTATAGTGAAATACAGTGTTTAGTGAGTGTTTTTTAATTAACATTGTGTGTCCAATTGTGTGAACTGTGTGGTGAGGTGAATAAAGAACTGTCAATCGTGAACCGGCATATAATTTCGAACCCCATCCCGACACGTAACAATACCATTGAAAGGTCAATTTTAATAACAAAAAACCCTTTTACCCCTTTTCAACCCTTTCCGTACATCCCAGAACGCTGCAAAATAACACGGTAAGTTATTTTAGTTTCTTTAAAAACCCCTTACAATTTCAGCGAGTTACTAATTATTTACGGGTTTGAGGATTTAATGTCTGGCCTACTAGATGTTAGGCAAGTTGGAAGAAGACCAATTCAAGCGGCCAATATAAACGAGCTTTTATGGAACTGCCTATTCCTTGGTATAGGCTATAGTCGGACGCCTCAAAAAAGTTGACGAGCGACGGCGAGCGCCGACAAGCGTCGCCAAATGAGGTGTATACACGTTGGCGCTTCTTATCAACGATATTAAATACCCTTTGTTCTAATACTTACTATATACTGACTTAATAGAATATATTTGTGTCTCTTTTCCTCGCGATCCGTAACTGCCATTTCGCTAACAGCGCATTCAGAATTGCGCGTAGAGTGAAATAATTCTTCTAAATATAGCAATAAGTCGTAAAATTTTACGAGCTTGCATTTGGAACGGTCATATCTCTATGTCGCATACGTTTTAATTAAGACCTTATACGCGGTATGCATTAAAGGTGACTTTCAATGTTTAAATAATGCCTTATATTGTTTTTGACTTCACGATTACCTTACGGAACTTCGTGAATCGTCCAATGTACGATTATGAACGTGTTGGTATATCTAGGGTATTTAATATCGTTGTTTCTCATACTAAGCAAATGAGCCAAGCGACACCGAGCGATGGCAAGACAAGACAAATATGCTGTCCATGCGTTGGTATCGGCCTTTGTAGCCAACATGTTATAAGGAGGCTTTTGAAGCAAAGGTAGATGTAATAAAAAATCAGAAACTTAATTTTCAATCATTTATTTGTACGGCAATTTTGTATATTACATTACACTTAAAATCGACTTACAACAACGCTTTATACAAATATTTATTAGAAAACGTATATCTAGGAATCAACATTCATCGCATTTTATCAACTAGGAATTCTACTAAATCAACTATGACAATTTTTTTATATATCCATCCTTGTTATACCTCAGAGGAAAGATAGAGACGGATATATAAAAACCGCCACTTCAAACAGTCTGTTTAACCAAAAACGCAAAATACCTCTAAACTGTTAAGTAATAAAGGTGATTTTCGCTCATCCACGTTTTCGATTAGGCAAAATGTGTTTGCACAATAAAACTAATATTTACATTATATAACGGAATTTGCTCCCGATACGCCCCAAAGAGATCAATTTAGGAAGATGAAGACGCAACAATTTCGGTGCGACAAGCGACAGAATTGACAATATCACCTTTGTGTCGTCCGTGTGTCTCGACCCTTATTTGTTAATCGAAATACCCTAACACTTCAACCAACATATACGAATAAATAATATATCACGTGTATTTCCGTGGTCCGGGGATACTGTACATCATATAATGTTCATGTATTAGTACAAAAAAGATTTTCGCATTTCTTGTAAGTATTATTTTTATGTCAGTCAAAAACAACCTGCAACTTTTCTGTCCTAACCTCTAAACATTATAACTGTAGTCTCCAAATTTCTTAAATAAAAATAGATAAAAAAACTTATTCCTGTATTTTATAAATATCAAAGAACAAATAAGATTCTTTGTAAGGGGTACTAAAAAAATCACGTCATTAATGGACGGCCCCTTTACACGAGAATCCACTAGTCTGTGCGGAAAGAGAATGGTATTTGGATTGGAGGGCGCTGTAGTGCTTTTCTACAGTATTTGTGAGGTTAAAAGGGGTAACCTTTTTAGACATGATTGAATACAAAAAACCGCAAGAAATCACAACAACAAACAAATCCGTATCAATACAAAACTTTGAGGTTTTACAGATTGCTGAGTTTGATTGCCAAATAAAAATCTTAATGTTAGTTCCGTTTTTCGCCACGCCCATTCTCTTTCCGCACAGACTCTACCAATCTTTGACACAATTAATCTTTAATCAGTTTTTGGTTGATTGGCAAAAGAAAGAAGAAGTGTCTTTTAATTCCTGATAAATAACTGGCGAACGGTAAGGTCAACGATATTATTACTTGTGTATCATTAGGCATTGTATTTACAATCAATATTTAAAAAAAATCTATCTGCAAGACGTCTCGTTTCTTACACCAAAAGCTGTGTAACTACTAAAATAACTTAACGAAACGCAGAAATGACTATGTTTTTAATAAATCGCTTTTGCCGAGAATCAAACCCGTTTTCCCTGGCGCGGCGGCGAGACACACGAACACACAAAGGTACCTACCTAATTTAACAATAAAAAACATATTATACTATCATTTTTGGTCGTCAACATTTCATCTCACTTACAATTAAACGTTTCCAAGCCATTTTGCTATTGTGCGACTTTACACGTAAACATTTCAAAATGAATGTTTCAACATATACACACATAAGTATATGTATGCGTATGTATATATCATATATACATATAGGGAAAACATTAATAGGGGTGATGACGGGGTACAGTAAACGAAATTCTATTTAGTCCGTCAGTTAGATGATCAAAAAATAATGGACACGTATTTTTTCTTTGGGCAATCAACCAAAAAAATTACAAAGTTATCGTGCGCGTCAAAGTTTGCGAGTAGGGGCTCGTGACGTCACTCTAAGTGAAAACTGTACCAAAACGTGACGTCATACGACTTTTCAAATCAAAGTATCTCTGCAATGTTTATATTATGTGAAAAAAGAAAAAATACGTGTCCAATAATACTTTTTGATAATCTACCTGATAAACGAAGAAAAAAAAATTAGTCATCATCCCTATTGTGCCGGATATAATAAAATAAAAACAGTGAACAGAATCATTTCAATGGAATGTGTATAATTTTCATTATTACAAATCAAACTTTACCTTTCTTTCCACTACAAATGGACAATTTGACAATACTGAATTCACACATCTCTTTCTGATCAAATTTAATAAAATCTTCTCAACATAAACACTTCTTAGCAGTGCTGTCTTTGACCTATTGGAGGTCCTGGGCATATTAGGATAACGGGGCCCCTATGACTTCCGTTTGGTGATTTAAAAGGAACTAGGGACTTTATATGTGATCTGAGTGGGCCCCCCCTATCGATCGCGGGGCTCTGAGCACTTGCCCAAAGTGCCCACTGGGAATGACGGGTCTGCTTCTTATTAAGAAACGAAGAATAAACTTGGATTAGTTGACTCCATGTTTTGCTTTTATTTCTTTAAGCATTTAACTGCTAGATGTTAAAATCTTAAAGAAAAATTTACTCGAAAAAAAACCCTTATAATTGCTATTTCTTCTTCCAAATGTTTAATACTTGGAAAGGTATTCATTTGACATTGTGGGTTACCTACAATGCGAAGAGATGGCGCTGCCTTGCAGCCTAAGGCTAGAGGAAATTCGACACGGCCGTCGGGGCCGCGGTAGCATAATGGTCAGTGCATTCGCCCGGTTAGCGAAGGGTGCGGGTTCGAGCCCCGAGAGGATTTCTTTCTAGTAAACTTTTCTTTAGATTTACTACTCCATGTTTTGTCTGTCCATTGAATGTTAAATGGCATTTGAATGTTATGGCCCAAACACGGCTCAACTAGTCTTATCTTATTCCTCATTTGTTAATAAAAGCGAAAAGTCTTCAATGAAATGTAATCTGGTATTGTTAACGTAACTAGAAACATCTGCCATCCCTGTCTGTCTACTTGATACAGATTAATTGAGATGTGCGATTTTTGTTTTTTTTTTACATTCAAAGAATTCGCTTATTAAAACAATTATAATTTCGATGTGTACAATCACTTTTTGAATAAGACGCCAAAATGCGTTCTGTGTCCGGTCACCATATTCCTTAAACTGTTCGTTAAACAAAAATTGCTGTGGGTTTATGAAACCATGATGCATGGAGTGAAACTTATTTTCGGGCGGGGTGTAAATGGAAAAATCCTATGGAAAAGATGAAACGGAAATGCGTAACTAGCGTCACACGACTACATATATATATATATATATTTGTGTGCGTGTGTGTGTGTGCGCAGCTCTTCCCGACGAGAATGAAAGTTGGAGGGTAACTCGGCGAAGGCTGAAACGCTACAAGCGTCACACGCGACTATATATATGTATACATATATATGAGTGATGCGTGCGCTGCTCCATACCCGTATGCCTTATGCACCGCCTAATGTTAGGTTGATTAAGAAAACAAGTTTCACTACAGATGTGTGCTCCGTGCATACTATTTTTTATTACAATTATTTATACTTAGTTTTAGTTTATGTTATCCTGTCATATACATTATTACGGTGATGTAACCAATTTTTATTTTTTGAGGAGCTCGATGGCGCAAGTAGTTAGCGCGGTTGGCTGCGATCTTTGAAGTTAAGCAACTTTCGCAGTGGTCGGTCATTGGATGGGTGACCAAGAATATACTATATCGAGCTCCTCCGTGCTTCGGAAGGCACGTTAAGCCGTTGGTCCCGGCTGCGTCTGCAGTCGTTAGCACCCACCAATCCGCACTGGGCCCGCGTGGTGGGTCATGGCCCAATCTCCCTATTCCATCCATAGGGAAGGCCTGTGCCCCAGCAGTGGGGACATTACTAGGCTGATGATGATGATGAACCAATTTTTCACTTTAATAAAAGTAATTTAATATGTACCATGAGACTTTCCACATCTCATTTTAAACTTTTATTAACACATCAATTTACAAATACATATGTATACAACAGTTATGCTGATGTTTTAACAAATCATCAATGCCATTGTATGTTTTGTGAACTTGGAAAGTGAAATGGAGCAATAAATTAAGAAGAATCTGCTTGCGAAAAGATCAATATGTATAATTCAAATACAGATACTTAAGCCGCGTTGTTTATCGATAGTAATATTTGACACTAGTTAAATCATATAGAAAAAATGGAACCTTCTTCTCTCTTCCTTACCTATTGATGAAACAACGCGGCCTTAATTACAATGTCACACTAACCAATTTTATTAACAGTGTAGTGTAAATTGAATTCATTTTGGTGAAAGAACATTGGTCTAAAAATTAACTGATAACGACTAGTTAAAATATGGAAACGGACATGGAACGCGACGTTTTCGTTAGCGTCTTCTGTAAATCAGTCATTTTATTACAATAAGAACTATTTTTGGATTTTATTGTGTACATAGCGGCTGGCAGCATTTGTATTTGCGTGCAAAATAGTGAGGTAATATTTCGGTTGAAAAAGTGAACTTTTCTGTAATGTTACGCACAAACAAGTTTGTACTTAGATCTATTTTCGGCCAATATAATATAAAATTTCCGAAAAAAACGTTCATTGTAAGACTATTCATATATTATATACATATTTTTCTATCCGAAAATTACTCGGTGAAGCCATTTTTCGTTATCGAGTTTCCTATAAAATAACTTTTTGCAATATAAAAGTTTCAGTACCAATTTTATTACAATTTAAATCACATTGTAGTACAGTTAAACACAACCAACCTATTTGACTGCCAACCACTAAGCACTCCAGTACAAAGACTAGCGACAAAGTCGCAGAGCTAATAACACACGTGCGACAAAATCGTGTCTCACTACCGCGACGTAGAACTGCGATTTTCTTGTAGATGTACGATTTTTTACAACTTCGCGACAAAATTCCAGATATGCGGCTGATGATAAGAGTTTTGGTCGTGTCGCTGGGTGTTGATGGCATGGTCTTAGAGTGCGACTAGAATCAGTTCTTAGTGGTGGGGGGTCCACTGGCTGCCCCCATACTTAGTAGCCCGGAATAACCTTTGGAGGAAAAGTAAAATTTGAAATATTTACCAAAAATATTTATGATTTTTCATTAACATATTTTAGTTTTAAAAAAAGTCTTTGTTTAAGACTCCTGCGGCCTTATTATAAATCGTAGACTAAAGTTGAACCTTGACTAAAACAGATACTGTCACTTTCATTTATCAAAAAGAAGACAAAGACAACATTAGGTTTTAACAAAGACTAACTTTATCCCGCGCTTTGGAATAAGGGGCTATACAGGGCGTTCCACGGCTACCTCACACAGAGGAATATGTGGTGTTTTTTTTTCGAAATTTCACGAGTTTGATTCCCAGTTGTAGCAGGCGATTTTAAATAAAAACTGTGAAAGCAGTTCTTATTATTATTAAAAATAAAACGATGTCTTCTTTCAGTAAAATATCCTATCTTCAATATTTAATATACTTTCCCTCCGTGTGAGGTAGCCGTGGGACGCCCTGTATAGAATGAAATATTAGCCTGAAACATAGTCATATTAACATAAATAAAACAAAACAAAATAGGCCAACTGGGTCCCTGTCTCAGCTTAATACTACAGCAACACCAAGGCTGCTGCAGCGCTTATGATTCTGGCAGGGCCAAAGGTTGATGACACATATTTTTTTTAAACAATAATAATACACCAAACGAAACAACCATACCAATTAATACATATAAAAAACTTATATAAAAATAGGCTGAATGATTTCACTATCTTTGCCTTAAAGAAAAGTGCAAAGATTTAAAAAAGAAAGACTAATCTGTGGGAGGACAGATTACAGACACTAAACACTAACTGTAGAGTCTGTGCGGAAAGAGAATGGGCGTGGCGATAAACGGAACTAACATTAAGATTTTTATTTGGCACTCAAACCCAGCAATCTGTAAAACGTCAAAGTTTTGTATTGATACGGATTTATTTGTTGTTGTTGTGATTTCTTGCAGTTTTTTGTATTTAAACATGTCTAAAAGGGGTAAAACCTTACAAATACGGTAGAAAAGCACTACAGCGCCCTCCAATCTAAATCCCATTCTCTTTCCGCGCAGACTCTATCTGTATTTAATATGAAACATGTTGAGGCTACTAAATAATTTTTCGTAATTTACCCTAGATAATATAAAGTTATGTTCGTATTATAGGAAAAGATCAACATATTACACTTAGGTCAATATTTTACATACAGATCAATATTTCTCAATTATTTAGGTCAATATAATATACAAAAAACAGAATGTTCCTTTTTAACTAAACAATATTTAACACTTACCTATGAACTTGTTGGCTAAAACTTCCCTATAGGCGGCCAATTGCCTCGGGTCCAAGTGGCCTAACCCGTACAAGGCGCTCATGTAGGCAGGGTCTGCTAGACCCGCGGATTTCTGGAGCCCTAGCAATGCTAGGCCTCCTTGTGCGGCTAACATGCTGGATAGAGAGCTGGGCTGAGTGCCTTGGCTGTCTCTGGACCCTGTGTGGGAAACAATAAATAAATATTATAATTAGGAATGGGGATTGAAAAACTCGATGGCGCAAGTGGTTAGCGGTTTCGGCTGCGATCGTTGTTGAAGTTAAGCAACTTTCGCAGTGGTCGGTCGGTCATTGGATGGGTGACCAAAAATTTCTTATCACTCGCTCCTCCGTGTTTCGTGCGTGCGTGAAAGAGACAGGACACTTCCTATTCTAGAAAAATGTTAGGTTCCTGTGGGATTTCCGACATACTAAAGTTAACACGAACTAAGTCACGGACTGCCGCTAGTATTCTACTAATGTTATTATAAGGACATGTGTTACTGTTCCATGCTAAAACAGCTGGAAAGGATTTTGATGAAATTTGGCATATATATTATATGTATATATAGGCGTATTACCTAGATTGACACAAAATATACTTTTTATCCCGGAATTATTTTTAGATCCCTGTGGCATTCTTAAAAGCTTATAATGAGTTATCTTTTTCGGTCGGTTTGAGAAATGTCATCAGCACTGTCTAATTAATCCGCGATTTCAGAAAAACCCTAGGAATTTCGCGAAAAATCATTAACATTTATATTCAAAAGAGAAATTTTCAGACAGGAATTCACTTATTCATTAATTCAAATGTTAGCAATCATAGAAAAATGTATAACTGCTATTTCTTCTTTCAAATGTTTAATACTTGTAACGGTATTCATTTGACATGGTGGGTTACCTACAATGCGAAGAAATACTAGAGAAAATTCGACCATCAGGGCCGCGGCGGCATAATGGTCAGTGCATTCACCCGGATAGCGAAGGGTGCTGGTTCGAGTCCCGTCTGCTGCCTGGTCCGCGTGGATTTTTTTCTAGTTATATTTTCTTTAGGTTCAAACATCAAGCAGTCACATGCTTAAAAATAAAAATATTTTTTTTAAATGAAGCAGATGTTAATTTCGAATGTACACTTTGTTGTATTTTGTTTTATTTATCTGAAGCTTTCCGATTCGAGTCCGCGTGGATTTTTATCTAGTAGAATTTTCTTTAGATTTAAACATCTAGCAGTTAAATAAATAAGAAATATTATTATTATAACTCACCTGTAGAACTCGTAGGAGACACGTTCTCCCTCGCATTAATTTGATAATTGGGTACAACTATTGGATTCTTCTTGGGTCCAGAAGGTGACGGAAGCGACCTCGCTTCCTTAGGCGGCGTCGGTGTCTTGCTCGACATAAACTTGCCATTCGAGGACCTCTTCTGCGGAGCCCTATTTTTGCTAGGAGTCACTTTGGGGCTATTCACTAGAGTAATCTCCAAATTGGAACCTACGACTGCTTTTCCGTCCATCAACTTGTAGTTTTTGGTTAGATTTTGAGCGCTAGTCTTAGAAGGACTCGGCGTGGTCGGCACTCTGACAATTTCTACTGCCGGTTTCGGTGAATCGCTTTTGCATGTCAAATCTAATATGTCCTGAGGTGTTGGTGTTTGAGTGACTTGTCTAGTGGGTTTTACTGGGGTACCGTGTAATATGTGAGGGGGAGGCATGAAAGGGTCCTTAGGGTTTCCGTAGACAGTTTTCTCCGGTCCACTGGAACCGAATATGCTGGTCGCTTGAATAACTTTTGGCGGTTGGACGCCGTTGTAGTTAGGAGGGATTATGTTGTACATTTGGAATAGGGAAGCTTGCGTCATTATTTGGTGTTGCATTGCAGGGTTTATGAGCATGGGTGCGGGGGTGATTAGGGGAGGAACGGGGGATACTAGCGGGGGTAAAGGCCAGGGGGGGACGGCTGTCACTTCCAACCCTCTCTCTTTGAGAATGTCTAGCTTTTTCTTCTTGACCGATTGTGGGCTTTCCGGGTATTCGTCTAGATCGATGATTTCTGGCGTTTTAGGCTTGTAGGGAACCTGCGTGAAAGATATCACACTTATATTATAAAAGCGAAAGTTTGTTACTTCTTCACGTCTGAACGGCTGGAGCGATATTAATAAAATTGGGTATGAAGTTAGCTGACAACCTGGATAAACACATAGGCTACGGTTTACTGCGGGAAAATATCCCTAAAACCGCGGGTAACACCGCGGGGCACAGCTAGTTTCAAATATAAGACAAATATTTTATATTTCAGCATCGCTTCTGATGTAAGTTGTAAGTTAAGGTATCGGGTGTTATAGAAAGTAGAAGCGAAGCAACCAAGGTATAGTTTATAGGAAGTTAGAATTTTTACATTGACGGCCGGTGAGGGATGGAACCCATGACCTTAGTGATGGAGACATCTTAAAAACTCAGGTTCAAATGTGAAAAACAACTTTTTCTAAGCCTTTCAGGTATCGGAAGGAATGTTTTGCTTAAATTACTAAAAATTTAAAATATGGTGCTTCTACTCAGCATATGAAACATTCGGAAAAAATCAACTACACAAATAGGTTACAGGATTGAATTTAAATTCCTTCTTTTGAGTATTAACTTACAAAAAATTAAGAAATTCTCAAAGAATATAAAATGCATTGAGACTTTTCTATCCTTTACTGACATGGATTTAACATGTATAAATCTAATGCTTAACTCAATAATTTCATCGTCATCAGGCGGCGCGGGAACGGGTGTATCTCGAAAATGTTGACGGTGGTGTTTCACAAGGATCTACGTTTGGACCTCCATTATATAAATAAATAATAATAAATATTTCCAACACACACCAATTAGTCTAGCCCCAAAGTAAGCACTGTAGGCTTGTGTTATGGGATACTTGGATAACAGATAGAATACATATACTATGTATTTCTACATACTGATACATATATAAGTATAATTATATAGAAATACATTTTAAACATCCATGACTGAAGTACAAATGCTCGCATTCATCATACAAACATTCGCCCCCACCGGGACTAGAACCCGGGTCCTCTCGTACAAGCGACACCTTGAAACTCGGTGTACAAACCACTCGGTCACGGAGGTCGTCACATATATCTTCTTTAAAAATGACACGCCCATTCAAAGATATACCGAGTAACGCCCATTTTGAATAATCAAAATTCAGTAAAAGAATGGCATATTACAGGTATTTTTTATTATTTAGATTATAATAACAATTGTTGCTAAAGATCGGAACCAGATTATCCTTACCTTTTACTCATCGGGTACTGCAAGGATCTAGCCCCTATAAACCTAACGCTTAGCTCTGTGATTTCGGATGACATTCTTAATCATAGAATGCTGAACTGAATTTTCTTCTAAAATTAACGGATTGTGCAATGATTTAGCCTCAATAATATTATCGACATAAAGATCCGTACTCAAACCTGTTTTGTTGAAATAGGTGTTCCCCAAGGATCGACGCTTGGGCCTTCCTTTTCAACATACCTTCCTTGTCAATTCAGAGGCAGACCAATTAAGCTTGTTTCGCTGTTTTCATGAAACAACATCGCACTCATCGGACGGTGACATAGCTTTAGTTCCTATAAAAATTATCAAAATAAATATTTCTACACTATATTTACCTCATAATAATTTCATGGTCATCAGGCGGCGCGGGCGGTCGATATATCCCGAAGTTGTTGAAATTGGTGTTCCTCAAGGATCCACGTTCGGACCTCCATTATATATCTACTTTGAAAGACTGCCCAATTAAGTCTGTTTTGCTAATGACACAGTCTCTTACTTATTTGATGCTGCCATAGATTTCCTCCTAAATTTAACCGTTTAGCTCTATGGTCTTGGACGGATGACGCATTGGATGCTGTAAGGAAAGATCTCCTAAAACTTAGCAATTACCTCAATAATTTCATCGTCATCAGGCGGTGCCGGCGGCCTGTGTATCCCGAAGTTGTTGACAGTGGGGGGAGATCGTTTCCCCGCGCCTACACCCGCGCTGGGGACAGTCCCCGCCCCCGCCCCCGTGCTGGGGACTGTTACTGTACCCATCCCCACTCCGACGGTGACTGACGCGGGCATTGTTAGCGTCGTGGGCGCTACGAACAAATAAATAATGTCATTACCTAGAATAATTATCATTATCTGCCTACAGGGTAAGTAGGGATGATCTCCACGTCGCGACGTCATCAACGTGGCATGGTGCCGGTAAAGTTGCAAATTTACGACCAGTATGCATGTTCAGTAAATGCTTTTGACTGATGGTGAAGTGATGATCGCATTGAGGAGCTCGATGGCGCAAGTGGTTAGCGTGTTCAATTGCGATCGTTGAAGTTAAGCAACTATTGCAGTGATCGGTCATTGGATGGGTGGTGGGATTGGTGGGATGACCAAAAATTTACTATCCTGAGCTCCTCCGTGCTTCGGAAGGCACGTTAAGCCGTTGGTCCCGGCTGCATCTGCAGTCGTTAGCACCCGCCAATCCGCACTGGGCCCGCGTGGTGGGTCATGGCCCAATCTCCCTATTCCATCCATAGGAAAGGCCTGGGCTCCAGCAGTGGGGACATTAAGAGGCTGATGATGTACTCTCACATCTTATGTAAGATTATTTCCACCTTATACACCGTATTCCTGAGGTTATACACTAAATTTGGCATGTTATTCAGACTATTAAATTGATCATTTTTTACTATGGACACTTTTATGAATTCCAATTTTTTTATCATTTTTTATTTTCATACAAACTAAATGCTTAGATGTAATTTATCTATTATGAATTACTCTTTACATGAGTGGCAACGTCGCATTTGAAACCTCGGTTCACATGTCCACATAAACTTTTTGAAACTTTTCTTGACGTCAACAATGTTTTTTAAAATTTTGACTTTTGAAACTATGACTTAATGACCATTGACAAAGAGTCGATAGTTTGATATGTTTGGTTGCAAAAAGTGGTAACATCTCACAGACAGAAGACTCATTCTCACCGAAACAACACAATGAGGGCTACCGTTTTCTGCCTCACCAGATGGCGCCACTGTTGAGTGAGGTCCTAAATTGTAACTTTTAAAGTTTATTAATACGCACATGAAATCAAAGGTTACATTTAGATCGTATTTTAACACAAAAGAACCATATCCTAAACATAATAGGCCATGCCACAGTGACGCGCAGTTCCGTTTTATTTTCATTTTTCTAAGCTCAAATTTTTAATAACTGACATTCATTGCCACATAACTCATATTTGCCATAATTAATCCGAATTGTTACCAATTATTCACAACATTATTTTAATTAGAAATAAACCCGCGTAGTCAACCAACAAGCAATAACATTTGACATTTCGGAGACCTCACGCTACACTAGCGCCTCTAGCGGCGGATTCATACGCGATAGCACTCATTAAGTTGGTTAAACTTGAATTATCAATAACTTAAAAACTATGCTATTTAAACTACTACTTTCTTTGTACGATATGTTCAACGAGAGCTGTAGAAGTATTATTCAAAGTTTATGTATATCCCCAGGAACACGGTGTATAGCGTCCCATAATATGTGAGTTGTGAAGTGTAACGAAACATGATACCTATCTCTTATCTATTAGACAAGTCCGTCCGTCCGTCTGTGGTGCTGTTTCAGCGGCCAAACCGTAAGAGATAGATAAAGAGAATATTTCAGTTATAAGTTAAGAATAGTCTGATAAGACTACAAACCGGATTTGAGTAACTAAGCACTTCCGGTTTTCGAGAAATCACGAATTTCAAACGAAACCACACAAAATCTCCGAAGTTCTCAATTAATTAAATACACTTTTTTTTTCTTTTTTTTTTTTTTTTTTTGTGAACATTTGGTTCACTGGTTTGCTAGTTATTAAATAATTTCTTACGTGTGCTGGCTGCGGGGTTGGAGGTTCGATTCCCGGGCTTGACGCGCACCGCCCGCAGCGAGCTCCTGCCCACCGGACGACTGCTCTTCTACAACAGACACAAATAAAACTATTTTATTTTTGAAGTTATACTTCTTTAGCCGCGTTATGAAAAAAATATGAGAGTGAAATTTTAAGATGCGCGCGCAACACTGTAACAGAAAAGTAACACCATGAAGTCGGCCGCTAAACCGCACATTACTCGTAAGTCTCGAAAAAAAGCTTCCAACAAAATAGTAATAGGATCTCTTAGTCGCACATGTTGGGACGCTCGTCGCCTCTGATCACTGTGATCACTGTTTTCATATTTATAATATTTATCCACATGTTTCTAGTTTCTATATTCTTAACACGTGTTATAATGTTATACAAATGCGAAATTTATATGTGCTAATAAATTTTATTCAGTAGTGATTTAAATTCAATATTTTGATTATTTAATAAATTTTTCAAATTAAAACTGAACTTTATTGACTGCGTTGACTATCCTTTTCCAATCCTTTTATTATCTTATTGTAATTAATTATCTGCATGCAATTAAAAACTATTTTTTAATAATTCCAAAAAGAAGTATAACTTCTCACGCGCGTACTTAAGTACACGCACCCATATTTTTTTAGATTTATAAGAGACAAATGCTTATTCGGACAAAAAACGGGATTTTAATTTTTCACTAAATCAAATAAAAAATCTTATTTTACGTTATATTTTTGAAGTGAAGACTTCTTTAGCGGCGTTGTACACTTTTTTTGTATGGGTAAAAAATGTTAAACTCGCGTCAGGTTAAACACGTGGGCTGATCGCATCATGACACACAACAAAATTGGAAAGGTTATTGACTTTCAATATATTGGACGAATAAATAGTATCTATATTATCTATTTAACTATATTATCATAGTAATATTTTATTTAACCGTATTATAATAATAAGTCTCTATCTAGGACGTCCACGTGGCAGCTTTATTGCGAAGAAAATGCATTTTTTTTACAATAGATGTCGCTAGGTGCGCTTAAACGTGATTCATGTAAGTTGATTTTTCTGAGAGATAAACTTTTTTAATGTAATATAAATTGTCATGTGTGTGACGATAGCGCAATAAATAAATATTGTATTCTGCCACATACATGATAGTACTTTAATACTGATAATTAAAGCAATTCGTGCAAAATTATTCCCTAACCATTCCAAAATATCAAAAATGCACAACGTCAATATTCAAGTTTTCACTTCTGCCGGCACTCCCGGAGTGCAAACCGTCGTTTTTATTATTTTTTAAGCATTTAACTGCTAGATGTGTAAATCTAAAGAAAAGTTTACTAGAAAAAATATTAATGCGGACCAGGCAGTAGACGGGACTCGAACCAGCACCCTCCACAATGTCAAAGCTACAACGCAAAGAGATGGCGCTGCCTTGCAGCCTAAGAAATGCTAGAGAAAATTGGACACGGCCGTCAGGGCCGCGGCAGCATAATGGTCAGTGCATCCGCCCGGATAACGAAGAGTGCGGTTTCGAGTCCTGTCTGCTGATTAGCCCGCGTGGAATTTTTTCTAGTAAACTTTTCTTTAGATTTACTCCATAGTTTTGTTTTCTACAATTCACCAAAAAGTTGCATACAAATTTTATAAATATCTAAAAAGTAAAATTGAACAATCTATAATAATAATCTCTTATCTAATAGACAAGTCCGTCCGTCCGTCCGTGGTGCTGTTTCAGCGGCCAAACCGTAAGAGATAGATATAGAGAATGTTTAAGTTATAAGTTAAGAATAGTCTGATAAGACTACAAACCGGATGTGAGTAACGTAGCACTTCCGGTTTTCGAGAAATCACGTGATTTCTATTTCAAACGAAACCACACAAAATCCCCCAAGTTCTCAATTAATCAAATACTTTTTTTTTTTGTGAACATTTGGTTCACTGGTTTGCTAGTCTATGATAATAATATAATGTTATTAAATAACGAACCTGGTCTTGACTAGTGTCATGGCCATTGTATTTATCCCCTAAGGCAGAGAGAGTGGCTAGGGGCGAACTGGTACTGAAGTCTTGCTGTGGAGGCTGCGACTTCACCAAGTCACCAAGGATGAAGCAGGAATCTGTGGTGCCTGGATAAAAAAAACATGAAACTTATGAAAATTAAACGAAATTTTAAGTATTTTATATGATTTTTTTTTATTAAGTGAAACTTCTTTTTGGACGGGGTGTAAATGAAAAAATCCTATGGAAAAGATGAAACGGAAATGCGACACGAGCGTCACACGACTATCTTTATATATATATATGTGTGTATGTACATGTGTGAGTGATGCGTGCGCTGCCCCATTCCCGTATGCCTTATGCACCGCCTAATGTTAGGTTATTTCAGAAAACAAGTTTCACTTCAGATGTGTGCTTTCGACTAGAGACTTAAGACTAGGCTGTATGGGCATTGTTCCCTTTGCCTTCCCTAAAAATGGTGAAACTTTAAAAAAAAAAGATGAAGATTTGTGTTTATGTATACCATACTAGAATACATAAAAAAAAGCGCCTCTACTCATGTCCTACCTCTACCTGTTTTATCGCTGCCCTATCTTAAATACAACTCTGGCTACTATCTAAATAGGTTTCCAAAGAGAAATAAACCACTCACCTAATTTCTGCGTCACCTCATTCACTTTAACACTAATATCACTCAGTCTTTTATCACCATCGACACTATTCACTCTACTATTGTCTTTGACTATGTGTTGTTTCACTATCACATCACTTTTTTCATCGTACTCTGTCTTCGCTGGCTCAATCAGTTTCTCGACTGGTTTCACCGTAATCTTGAGAGCATTCTTGTCCGGTGAAGGTTTCTCCTCCTTTGGTAGCGACTCCAAGAATTCCCTGTTCAACTCCTCAGCCGGTTTGGAGACTAGGTTGAGTTCTTCCTTGCACTCAGTGAATTCTTTCTCCGTATACTCCGTCTGTAAAGAAGAATTAACAATAAATAATGTTATATATTTAATGATTTAACTGCTAGATGTTTAAATCTAAATTTCACGCGGACCAGGCATCAGACTGGACTCGAACCCGGACCCTTCGCTGCAAACAAAAACAAAAAGAGTAAACTTAAAAACAAAAAGAGACAAAAGATGTATTTCTAATTTTCACCATCCGCGCGTGGCGCCATTTGAAAATGCGCACCATTTTCTTATTAGAAAAAGTTGGCTTTATTACCTAAATTAAATATAGATTCTGTTTTTTCACAAATGTGTTGAAAAACGTTGTACAACATTCGTGTGGAATTGATATTTACAAACTCGTGACTCGTGACATTTCTAAATGGCGCCACATGCAAGTGGTGAAAATTAGAACTGATAGAAATATTATTTATTCCATTCATTCCATTAAAAATATAAATTGACTGTATGAGGTAAAAGGCATAAGCCTTACATAGTGTCAAGTTTTTTAAGAATAGCTGTCTCTGGCTGTCAAAACGTTCTGTCACTTCCTTAGCAATGAATTCGTAACTCATATAATGTGATTATTCTATTCTTTTAATTTAATAATAATCTCATAAAATGTAAAGCATTTTCGTATTTATTCTGAAAATAAATTGTCGTAAAATGTCATAGCGCGTTTGTTTTTTTATCAACGGTCTGCACACTAGCCCGTTCACGAACTTTCATTGCCAGCTCGCCATACCAATGTCATTAAGAACTACATCTTTCGTCTCTTTTTAAAAGAAATTAAAAGCATTTCCAAACCGCAAAGGATAGCGTGCGGTAAAACGTTTTACCGCACGCTCCGTCGTATAACTCCTAAGTTTTTAACTTTCGAACGATGTACTACAACCTCCGTAAATGCATTATTTTAGCAAATGTGTTGCGAATAACCTTTTTTTTTTCAAAAAATTATAATCACCTGTTTTTCTTTGGGCGGTCCGGTTTCTCTATGCGGCGAGTCTCTGAGCTCTATGGTGACCACAGTCCTGGGCTCCTCCAACCTTCCGTTGGGCAGACGGGACCCATTTCGTGACTCATGTTTCTCGTACGGCAGGAGGTATCTGATGAAAGAATGAAATGAAATGGAATTATATTTTTGAAGTTAAAACTTCTTTAGCGGCGTTGTACACTTTTTTTTGTGTGGGTACAAAATTTTATACTCGCGTCAGGTGAAACACGTGGGCTGATCGCGTTATGACACACAATAAAATCGGAATGGTTGTTGACTTTCATTATATTGGACAAAATAAGTTTCTGACTGAGTTTCTACGTCCACGCGGCAGCTTTATTGCGAAGAAAATACATTTTTTCTACAATAGATGTCGCTAGGTGCGCTTAAATGTGATTCATGTAAGTTGATTTCTTTACAATAGATGTCGCTAACTGCGCCTAAACGTCATTCATGTAAGTTGACTTTTCTGAGAGATAAACTTTTTAATGTAATATAAATTGTCATGTTTGTGTACGACAGCGCAATAAATAAATATTGTATTCTACCACATACATGATAGTACTTTTATACTAATAATTAAAGCAATTAATGGAAAATTATTCCCTAACCATTCCAAAATATCAAAAACGCACAACGTTAATATTCAAGTTTTCACTTCTGCCGGTACTACCGGAGTTCAACCCGTCGTTTTTTTTTTCAAATCGACTTTTTGAAATATGGACATCTACTTTACCCCCATATAATCATCGGATGTGAAATTCGGAAGCTAACACTCCATGTATACAATGCCCGTCAAGCATCAGTCGGGCCGCGGCCTCGAGCTACCTTCAACCAGCTCGGAAGAAGATCTTCCCTTTTGGCCTTCCACCATAAATATTTCAAAAATATTATTAAGCACTATCGTGAGGCTAGAGCGCGCCACAGCCGGCGCCGGCACACGGTCTCGGACCCGCCCCTCACGTGTCTGTGTGAGACTGCCTCACCTCTCATAGTGGTTCCTGGCTCGAGTGGGCTGTGAGGCTAGAGCGCGCCACAGCCGGCGCCGGCACACGGTCTCGGACCCGCCCCTCACGTGTCTGTGTGAGACTGCCTCACCTCTCATAGTGGTTCCCTGGCTCGAGTGGGCTGTGAGGCTAGAGCGCCGCCACAGCCGGCGCCGGGCACACGGTCTCGGACCCGCCCCTCACGTGTCTGTGTGAGACTGCCTCACCTCTCATAGTGGTTCCTGGCTCGAGTGGGCTGTGAGGCTAGAGCGCGCCACAGCCGGCGCCGGCACACGTCTCCGGACCCGCCCCTCACGTGTCTGTGTGAGACTGCCTCACCTCTCATAGGTGGTTCCTGGCTCTCATGGGCTGTGAGACTAGAGCGCGCCACAGCCGCGCCGGCACACGGTCTCGGACCCGCCCCTCACGTGTCCTGTGTGAGACTGCCTCACCTCTCATAGTGGTTCCTGGCTCTCATGGGCTGTGAGTCTAGAGCGCGCCACAGCCGGCGCCGGCACACGGTCTCGACTCCGCCCCTCACGTGTCTGTGTGAGACTGCCTCACCTCTCATAGTGGTTCCTGGCTCTCATGGGCTGTGAGACTAGAGCGCGCCACAGCCGGCGCCGGCACACGGTCTCGGACCCGCCCCTCACGTGGCTGTGTGAGACTGCCTCACCTCTCATAGTGAGACTGCCTCACCTCTCATAGTGGTTCCTGGCTCTCATGGGCTGTGAGACTAGAGCGCGCCACAGCCGGCGCCGGCACACGGTCTCGGACCCGCCCCTCACGTGTCTGTGTGAGACTGCCTCACCTCTCATAGTGGTTCCTGGCTCTCAGTGGGCTGTGAGGCTAGAGCGCGCCACAGCCGGCGCCGGCACACGGTCTCGGACCCGCCCCTCACGTGTCTGTGTGAGACTGCCTCACCTCTCATAGTGGTTCCTGGCTCGAGTGGGCTGTGAGGCTAGAGCGCGCCACAGCCGGCGCCGGCACACGGTCTCGGACCCGCCCCTCACGTGTCTGTGTGAGACTGCCTCACCTCTCATAGTGGTTCCTGGCTCTCATGGGCTGTGAGGCTAGAGCGCGCCACAGCCGGCGCCGGCACACGGTCTCGGACCCGCCCCTCACGTGTCTGTGTGAGACTGCCTCACCTCTCATAGTGGTTCCTGGCTCGATGGGCTGTGAGGCTAGAGCGCGCCACAGCCGGCGCCGGCACACGGTCTCGGACCCGCCCCTCACGTGTCTGTGTGAGACTGCCTCACCTCTCATAGTGGTTCCTGGCTCGAGTGGGCTGTGAGGCTAGAGCGCGCCACAGCCGGCGCCGGCACACGGTCTCGGACCCGCCCCTCACGTGTCTGTGTGAGACTGCCTCACCTCTCATAGTGGTTCCTGGCTCTCATGGGCTGTGAGGACTAGAGCGCGCCACAGCCGGCGCCGGCACACGGTCTCGGACCCGCCCCTCACGTGTCTGTGTGAGACTGCCTCACCTCTCATAGTGGTTCCTGGCTCTCATGGGCTGTGAGACTAGAGCGCGCCACAGCCGGCGCCGGCACACGGTCTCGGACCCGCCCCTCACGTGTCTGTGTGAGACTGCCTCACCTCTCATAGTGGTTCCTGGCTCGAGTGGGCTGTGAGGCTAGAGCGCGCCACAGCCGGCGCCGGCACACGGTCTCGGACCCGCCCCTCACGTGTCTGTGTGAGACTGCCTCACCTCTCATAGTGGTTCCTGGCTTCATGGGCTGTGAGACTAGAGCGCGCCACAGCCGGCGCCGGCACACGGTTCTCGGACCCGCCCCTCACGTGTCCTGTGTGAGGACTGCCTCACCTTCTCCATAGTGGTTCCTGGCTCGAGTGTGGCTGTGAGGCTAGAGCGCGCCACAGGCCGCGCCGGCACACGGTCTCGAGACCCGCCCCTCACGTGTGCCTGTGGTGAGGGACTTGCCTCACACTCCGTCCAGTAGTGGTTCCTGGCTCTCGAGTGGGGCTGTGAGGCTAGAGCGCGCACAGCCGGCGACGGCACACGGTCTCGGACCCGAGCCCCTCACGTGTCTGTGTGAGACTGCCTCACCACCTCTCATAGAGGTTTTTCCTGGCTCGAGTGGGCTGTGAGGCTAGAGCGCGCCACAGCCAGGCGCCGTGCACACGGATCTCGGACCCGCCCCTCTGTGTGAGACTGCCTCACCTCTCATAGTGGTTCCTGGCTCGAGTGGGCTGTGAGGCTAGAGCGCGCCACAGCCGGCGCCGGCACACGGTCTCGGACCCGCCCCTCACGTGTCTGTGTGAGACTGCCTCACCTCTCATAGTGGTTCCTGGCTCTCATGGGCTGTGAGGCTAGAGCGCGCCACAGCCGGCGCCGGCACACGGTCTCGGACCCGCCCCTCACGTGTCTGTGTGAGACTGCCTCACCTCTCATAGTGGTTCCTGGCTCTCAGTGGGCTGTGAGGCTAGAGCGCGCCACAGCCGGCGCCGGCACACGGTCTCGGACCCGCCCCTCACGTGTCTGTGTGAGACTGCCTCACCTCTCATAGTGGTTCCTGGCTCGAGTGGGCTGTGAGGCTAGAGCGCGCCACAGCCGGCGCCGGCACACGGTCTCGGACCCGCCCCTCACGTGTCTGTGTGAGACTGCCTCACCTCTCATAGTGGTTCCTGGCTCTCATGGGCTGTGAGGCTAGAGCGCGCCACAGCCGGCGCCGGCACACGGTCTCGGACCCGCCCCTCACGTGTCTGTGTGAGACTGCCTCACCTCTCATAGTGGTTCCTGGCTCGAGTGGGCTGTGAGGCTAGAGCGCGCCACAGCCGGCGCCGGCACACGGTCTCGGACCCGCCCCTCACGTGTCTGTGTGAGACTGCCTCACCTCTCATAGTGGTTCCTGGCTCGAGTGGGCTGTGAGGCTAGAGCGCGCCACAGCCGGCGCCGGCACACGGTCTCGGACCCGCCCCTCACGTGTCTGTGTGAGACTGCCTCACCTCTCATAGTGGTTCCTGGCTCTCATGGGCTGTGAGGCTAGAGCGCGCCACAGCCGGCGCCGGCACACGGTCTCGGACCCGCCCCTCACGTGTCTGTGTGAGACTGCCTCACCTCTCATAGTGGTTCCTGGCTCTCATGGGCTGTGAGGCTAGAGCGCGCCACAGCCGGCGCCGGCACACGGTCTCGGACCCGCCCCTCACGTGTCTGTGTGAGACTGCCTCACCTCTCATAGTGGTTCCTGGCTCGAGTGGGCTGTGAGGCTAGAGCGCGCCACAGCCGGCGCCGGCACACGGTCTCGGACCCGCCCCTCACGTGTCTGTGTGAGACTGCCTCACCTCTCATAGTGGTTCCTGGCTCGAGTGGGCTGTGAGGCTAGAGCGCGCCACAGCCGGCGCCGGCACACGGTCTCGGACCCGCCCCTCACGTGTCTGTGTGAGACTGCCTCACCTCTCATAGTGGTTCCTGGCTCTAGTGGGCTGTGAGGCTAGAGCGCGCCACAGCCGGCGCCGGCACACGGTCTCGGACCCGCCCCTCACGTGTCTGTGTGAGACTGCCTCACCTCTCATAGTGGTTCCTGGCTCGAGTGGGCTGTGAGGCTAGAGCGCGCCACAGCCGGCGCCGGCACACGGTCTCGGACCCGCCCCTCACGTGTCTGTGTGAGACTGCCTCACCTCTCATAGTGGTTCCTGGCTCGAGTGGGCTGTGAGGCTAGAGCGCGCCACAGCCGGCGCCGGCACACGGTCTCGGACCCGCCCCTCACGTGTCTGTGTGAGACTGCCTCACCTCTCATAGTGGTTCCTGGCTCTCATGGGCTGTGAGACTAGAGCGCGCCACAGCCGGCGCCGGCACACGGTCTCGGACCCGCCCCTCACGTGTCTGTGTGAGACTGCCTCACCTCTCATAGTGGTTCCTGGCTCTCATGGGCTGTGAGGCTAGAGCGCGCCACAGCCGGCGCCGGCACACGGTCTCGGACCCGCCCCTCACGTGTCTGTGTGAGACTGCCTCACCTCTCATAGTGGTTCCTGGCTCTCATGGGCTGTGAGGCTAGAGCGCGCCACAGCCGGCGCCGGCACACGGTCTCGGACCCGCCCCTCACGTGTCTGTGTGAGACTGCCTCACCTCTCATAGTGGTTCCTGGCTCGAGTGGGCTGTGAGGCTAGAGCGCGCCACAGCCGGCGCCGGCACACGGTCTCGGACCCGCCCCTCACGTGTCTGTGTGAGACTGCCTCACCTCTCATAGTGGTTCCTGGCTCTCATGGGCTGTGAGGCTAGAGCGCGCCACAGCCGGCGCCGGCACACGGTCTCGGACCCGCCCCTCACGTGTCTGTGTGAGACTGCCTCACCTCTCATAGTGGTTCCTGGCTCGAGTGGGCTGTGAGGCTAGAGCGCGCCACAGCCGGCGCCGGCACACGGTCTCGGACCCGCCCCTCACGTGTCTGTGTGAGACTGCCTCACCTCTCATAGTGGTTCCTGGCTCGAGTGGGCTGTGAGGCTAGAGCGCGCCACAGCCGGCGCCGGCACACGGTCTCGGACCCGCCCCTCACGTGTCTGTGTGAGACTGCCTCACCTCTCATAGTGGTTCCTGGCTCTCATGGGCTGTGAGGCTAGAGCGCGCCACAGCCGGCGCCGGCACACGGTCTCGGACCCGCCCCTCACGTGTCTGTGTGAGACTGCCTCACCTCTCATAGTGGTTCCTGGCTCTCATGGGCTGTGAGGCTAGAGCGCGCCACAGCCGGCGCCGGCACACGGTCTCGGACCCGCCCCTCACGTGTCTGTGTGAGACTGCCTCACCTCTCATAGTGGTTCCTGGCTCGAGTGGGCTGTGAGGCTAGAGCGCGCCACAGCCGGCGCCGGCACACGGTCTCGGACCCGCCCCTCACGTGTCTGTGTGAGACTGCCTCACCTCTCATAGTGGTTCCTGGCTCTCATGGGCTGTGAGGCTAGAGCGCGCCACAGCCGGCGCCGGCACACGGTCTCGGACCCGCCCCTCACGTGTCTGTGTGAGACTGCCTCACCTCTCATAGTGGTTCCTGGCTCGAGTGGGCTGTGAGGCTAGAGCGCGCCACAGCCGGCGCCGGCACACGGTCTCGGACCCGCCCCTCACGTGTCTGTGTGAGACTGCCTCACCTCTCATAGTGGTTCCTGGCTCGAGTGGGCTGTGAGGCTAGAGCGCGCCACAGCCGGCGCCGGCACACGGTCTCGGACCCGCCCCTCACGTGTCTGTGTGAGACTGCCTCACCTCTCATAGTGGTTCCTGGCTCTCATGGGCTGTGAGGCTAGAGCGCGCCACAGCCGGCGCCGGCACACGGTCTCGGACCCGCCCCTCACGTGTCTGTGTGAGACTGCCTCACCTCTCATAGTGGTTCCTGGCTCTCATGGGCTGTGAGGCTAGAGCGCGCCACAGCCGGCGCCGGCACACGGTCTCGGACCCGCCCCTCACGTGTCTGTGTGAGACTGCCTCACCTCTCATAGTGGTTCCTGGCTCGCGTGGGCTGTGAGGCTAGAGCGCGCCACAGCCGGCGCCGGCACCCGGTCTCGGACCCGCCCCTCACGTGTCTGTGTGAGACTGCCTCACCTCTCATAGTGGTTCCTGGCTCTCATGGGCTGTGAGGCTAGAGCGCGCCACAGCCGGCGCCGGCACACGGTCTCGGACCCGCCCCTCACGTGTCTGTGTGAGACTGCCTCACCTCTCATAGTGGTTCCTGGCTCGAGTGGGCTGTGAGGCTAGAGCGCGCCACAGCCGGCGCCGGCACACGGTCTCGGACCCGCCCCTCACGTGTCTGTGTGAGACTGCCTCACCTCTCATAGTGGTTCCTGGCTCGAGTGGGCTGTGAGGCTAGAGCGCGCCACAGCCGGCGCCGGCACACGGTCTCGGACCCGCCCCTCACGTGTCTGTGTGAGACTGCCTCACCTCTCATAGTGGTTCCTGGCTCGAGTGGGCTGTGAGGCTAGAGCGCGCCACAGCCGGCGCCGGCACACGGTCTCGGACCCGCCCCTCACGTGTCTGTGTGAGACTGCCTCACCTCTCATAGTGGTTCCTGGCTCTCATGGGCTGTGAGACTAGAGCGCGCCACAGCCGGCGCCGGCACACGGTCTCGGACCCGCCCCTCACGTGTCTGTGTGAGACTGCCTCACCTCTCATAGTGGTTCCTGGCTCTCATGGGCTGTGAGGCTAGAGCGCGCCACAGCCGGCGCCGGCACACGGTCTCGGACCCGCCCCTCACGTGTCTGTGTGAGACTGCCTCACCTCTCATAGTGGTTCCTGGCTCTCATGGGCTGTGAGACTAGAGCGCGCCACAGCCGGCGCCGGCACACGGTCTCGGACCCGCCCCTCACGTGTCTGTGTGAGACTGCCTCACCTCTCATAGTGGTTCCTGGCTCGAGTGGGCTGTGAGGCTAGAGCGCGCCACAGCCGGCGCCGGCACACGGTCTCGGACCCGCCCCTCACGTGTCTGTGTGAGACTGCCTCACCTCTCATAGTGGTTCCTGGCTCGAGTGGGCTGTGAGGCTAGAGCGCGCCACAGCCGGCGCCGGCACACGGTCTCGGACCCGCCCCTCACGTGTCTGTGTGAGACTGCCTCACCTCTCATAGTGGTTCCTGGCTCGAGTGGGCTGTGAGACTAGAGCGCGCCACAGCCGGCGCCGGCACACGGTCTCGGACCCGCCCCTCACGTGTCTGTGTGAGACTGCCTCACCTCTCATAGTGGTTCCTGGCTCGAGTGGGCTGTGAGGCTAGAGCGCGCCACAGCCGGCGCCGGCACACGGTCTCGGACCCGCCCCTCACGTGTCTGTGTGAGACTGCCTCACCTCTCATAGTGGTTCCTGGCTCGAGTGGGCTGTGAGACTAGAGCGCGCCACAGCCGGCGCCGGCACACGGTCTCGGACCCGCCCCTCACGTGTCTGTGTGAGACTGCCTCACCTCTCATAGTGGTTCCTGGCTCTCATGGGCTGTGAGGCTAGAGCGCGCCACAGCCGGCGCCGGCACACGGTCTCGGACCCGCCCCTCACGTGTCTGTGTGAGACTGCCTCACCTCTCATAGTGGTTCCTGGCTCTCATGGGCTGTGAGACTAGAGCGCGCCACAGCCGGCGCCGGCACACGGTCTCGGACCCGCCCCTCACGTGTCTGTGTGAGACTGCCTCACCTCTCATAGTGGTTCCTGGCTCTCATGGGCTGTGAGGCTAGAGCGCGCCACAGCCGGCGCCGGCACACGGTCTCGGACCCGCCCCTCACGTGTCTGTGTGAGACTGCCTCACCTCTCATAGTGGTTCCTGGCTCGAGTGGGCTGTGAGGCTAGAGCGCGCCACAGCCGGCGCCGGCACACGGTCTCGGACCCGCCCCTCACGTGTCTGTGTGAGACTGCCTCACCTCTCATAGTGGTTCCTGGCTCTCATGGGCTGTGAGGCTAGAGCGCGCCACAGCCGGCGCCGGCACACGGTCTCGGACCCGCCCCTCACGTGTCTGTGTGAGACTGCCTCACCTCTCATAGTGGTTCCTGGCTCGAGTGGGCTGTGAGGCTAGAGCGCGCCACAGCCGGCGCCGGCACACGGTCTCGGACCCGCCCCTCACGTGTCTGTGTGAGACTGCCTCACCTCTCATAGTGGTTCCTGGCTCGAGTGGGCTGTGAGGCTAGAGCGCGCCACAGCCGGCGCCGGCACACGGTCTCGGACCCGCCCCTCACGTGTCTGTGTGAGACTGCCTCACCTCTCATAGTGGTTCCTGGCTCGAGTGGGCTGTGAGACTAGAGCGCGCCACAGCCGGCGCCGGCACACGGTCTCGGACCCGCCCCTCACGTGTCTGTGTGAGACTGCCTCACCTCTCATAGTGGTTCCTGGCTCGAGTGGGCTGTGAGGCTAGAGCGCGCCACAGCCGGCGCCGGCACACGGTCTCGGACCCGCCCCTCACGTGTCTGTGTGAGACTGCCTCACCTCTCATAGTGGTTCCTGGCTCTCATGGGCTGTGAGGCTAGAGCGCGCCACAGCCGGCGCCGGCACACGGTCTCGGACCCGCCCCTCACGTGTCTGTGTGAGACTGCCTCACCTCTCATAGTGGTTCCTGGCTCGAGTGGGCTGTGAGGCTAGAGCGCGCCACAGCCGGCGCCGGCACACGGTCTCGGACCCGCCCCTCACGTGTCTGTGTGAGACTGCCTCACCTCTCATAGTGGTTCCTGGCTCTCATGGGCTGTGAGGCTAGAGCGCGCCACAGCCGGCGCCGGCACACGGTCTCGGACCCGCCCCTCACGTGTCTGTGTGAGACTGCCTCACCTCTCATAGTGGTTCCTGGCTCTCATGGGCTGTGAGGCTAGAGCGCGCCACAGCCGGCGCCGGCACACGGTCTCGGACCCGCCCCTCACGTGTCTGTGTGAGACTGCCTCACCTCTCATAGTGGTTCCTGGCTCTCATGGGCTGTGAGGCTAGAGCGCGCCACAGCCGGCGCCGGCACACGGTCTCGGACCCGCCCCTCACGTGTCTGTGTGAGACTGCCTCACCTCTCATAGTGGTTCCTGGCTCGAGTGGGCTGTGAGGCTAGAGCGCGCCACAGCCGGCGCCGGCACACGGTCTCGTAACCGCCGCGGGAAACCACTCGCGCGTATAGCGAACGAAGAGATACTACAAAAACAAACAAACATATCGATGAAAGAAAAGCAACTTCAAAGTAGATACAAGCGGACAGTGTCTATAAAGATACCTAGGGGCTAATCTCCTAATCAAAATTAAAAATTCAATATCGTTTATTCAGTCTAAACTGTTACGAGCACTTGTGAATGTCGAAAAGCTACGCCATCGGTTCGCAAATCTACGGCGAGAGATCTTGTACTGAGAAGAACCGGCAAGAAACTCAGCAAGGGCTGCTTTTTTCTCCCTGTTTTATTTCATACAGTGTCGTCCAATTGAAAGTTGACATCAAACTTGCAAACATGTGTTGAGGTCAACTTCCATCACATAATGTCAAATATGTAACAATAGACAATCAACGAATTTACTAACAATAAGAGCAAAAATAAGTCCCAATCGCTGGTGGAGACCTCTCGTTGCCAAGCATGGTTAGAGCCATGCTTGGTAGCGAGCGGGCCTGGAAGGCCGCCGCCTCCTTCGGTGATGACGCAGAAGGAGGCCGTGGAGCGGGAGCGGGAGAAGGACGCTCTAGCCGCTCCCCTCCGACGTAGACGGGAGGGCCGAAGAAGGCAGGCAGCCGTGACTGCCGGTCTTCGTCGGTCCTAAGGTGGTCTGGGCGCGGCCTGGCCGCCGCGTGCCCTAGATGCCATTCGGCATAGGCCACACCGTCTGAGGATTGCCTAGTACCCTAGCGCAATCCCCCAGAGGCGTGCCGGCCCGGGGATGTCCCAGTAAAGTGGCGCCCACAAAGGTGCGCCGATCCTGAGACGCTGGGAGCGTCTCAGGAGGGTCTAAGGGCGTAGGAGGATACTGGTGGTTTTTAGTGGGTAGGACCGGCGCTGTTCCACGTCGGGCGTCCCACAGACTAGCCAGCGCGAGGATTTTCCATCGTCAAAAAAAAGGGGGCTAATCTCCTAACGGGATCGCTACGGTTATTGCCATCGCTTACGATTTCTTTTTGTTATTTCTGTCCGCCGAAGGTTTTCAAATACTTCACGCCCAATTTGTTATTATCAATACAAAAGAAAAAATAAGAGCGCGAGGCATTTGAAAACATAAGGCGTTTCAAATAACAAAATGAACTCGTAAACGCTAGCGATAGCCATAGCAATACTGATAGGCAAATTAGCCTCCTAGAATACGAAGGTTAGTATGCTGTTTTGTTTTATAGATAGGTCCGACAAATGACTCCACCCGACCTGATGTTAAGTGAAGGTGAAGTCCAGACGCGAAGATAGCTGATACAGCAGTTCTACCTGCCACACCAGCCATCCTCACCCTGCCGGCCTGCATGTTGCTTCTTCACGCCTCTTTTAAAGGATCCCAGGTTGTAAGAGGGAGGGAACACGTGAGCGGGCAGAGCATTCCATTTACGTATAGTGCGACAAAGAAACGAGTCACCAAATTTCTTTGTACGCGTTGGAATTGTGGCCACAGTTAGACGGTGACAACGTAGGCCAGCGCGCGTGGTCCTCGGAAGGAAAGGGGAAGGTGGGATAAGAGAGAATAACTCCTCAGAACACTCGCCGTGGTACAGACGATAGAACGCGCTTAGTGACGCCACGTCACGGCGTAATTGAAGAGGTTCAAGGTATTTAGTCACCTCCTCATCGCCTATGATGCGGATCGCGCGCCGCTGTAACCTATCCAAAGCATTCTTTGGATTCAGGTCTGAGCGAACTTCCATACCGAGCATGGAAATGTTGCTCTGTAGCGGAAGTGTTGTGCCCTGAAGAGAGGGAAGGGGAAGGAATGGCGATGTTTTTGCCGTGAAAGCGCAAGCCTGAGTTTTCTTGGCATTGAACTCAACCAAGTTCCTGGTACCCCATTCGGAAATGTGGTCCAAAGCCTGATTGAGTTCAATGACAAGATTCTCCCGTTTCTCCTTGGTTACCGCCTGCCCAGCCGCTGCTTGCTGAGATACCCCGCATGCACTGAACTATCGTCTGCATAGCAATGAATGTTCCCAAGAGGAATTAAGTCATTGATATGCAGCAGAAAGAGAGTGGGGGATAGCCCTGGGGAACGCCGGCATTCACTGACATGAACCGCGAACTGCTACCATCCGTAAGGACACGAATTCTACGCTCATGCAGGAAGTCAGCTACCCAAGAACAGAACTGGGCTGGCAGACCGTATGCCGGAAGCTTGGAGAGAAGGCTTTTGTGCCAGACCCTGTCGAACGCCTTGGCAATGTCAAGGCTGATAGCCAACGACTCGCCACACTTGTCGATAGCCTCACCCCAGATATGAGTTAAGTACGCTAGAAGATCACCCGTCGATCATTTCGGTGTAAAACCATATTGACGATCATTAATCAGGGAGTGATCCCCTAGGTAGCTGGTCAGATGGTTATTATTATGTATTATTAAATTCTTCTAGCCATTCTTAAGCTGCAAGGCAGCGCCATCTCTTCGCATTGTAGGTAACCCACAATGTCAAATGAATACTTTTACAAGTATTAAACATTTGAAAGAAGAAATAGCAATTATAGTTACAATTTTTATTAATTTTAAAGCATGTAACTGCTTGATGTTTTTTCGACGCGGTCCATGAGGGCCGCGGTAGCATAATTGGTCAGTGCATCGCCCGGATTGCGAAGGGTGCGGGTTCGAGTCCCGTCTGCTGCCTGGTCCGCGTGGAATTTTTTCTAGTTATATTTTCTTTAGATTTAAACATCAAGCAGTTACATGCTTTAAAATTAATAAAAATTGTAACAAATTTATATTCTTAAATATGTATAAAGTCTATTTATTTCCTATAACAGTAGTAATAAATTATTTTTAGTTTAATTTTTATAGCACTTTCTGTTTCCCGCTAAGTTGTGAATCTCCGACACCAGCTAGGTTGGCTGGAAGAGATCTCTTTTAGAGATAAGCCCACCTTTGCTTACTATGTATTTGACTATATGTTTTAACTATATGATGCAATAAAGAGTATAATAATATAAATTTACAGATATATGTGTATACATATATGACTCACAATCTTTTAGCGGCGTCGGTTCGTCACTCTCCTTATGGAAATGCCTCAGCCGGGAGAGGAACGCGCGATCTTCCGCGGTGTCTCTGTGGTCTTCGTCCCCGGAATGTTTCTCGCCACCGTTCCTTAAAGACACGCGACGTGGAGTTGTTACCTGAGAAGAAATAAGTAGGTACATATTAATCTATATATATAAAACTCAAAGGTGACCGACTGACTGACATAGTGATCTATCAACGCACAGCCCAAACCACTGGACGGATCAGGCTGAAATTTGGCATGCAGGTAGATGTTATGACGTAGGCATCCGCTAAGAAAGGATTTTGATCAATTCTACCCCCAAGGGGATTAAATTGGGGATGAAAGTGTGTATGAAACTTTGTTAATTTTAAACCGATCGGGCTGAGACTTTGCATGCAGGTATAAGAAGAATCATAGATGAATGTCATTGTGTATAATACAAGCCTGAGAACAAAAACTGTAGTCTACATTTCAGCTCTACACCGAAGCGAAGCGAGGGCGAGCCGCTAGTATTTTATTAAGAGCCCTTTTACAAAATTGCGCCGCTGCCGTACCGATCGGCGCGTAGGTAGATTTGCACTAGTATATATTGCATTTCACGGGTGATGTTTCGAGTCTTATAAAATAATTATTAATGAAATAATTATAAATATATATACATATTTCAGTAGTTCAATGATGGTAGATTAGTTTTATGAAAGTTTTTGAAGGAATTTCTATTTAATTCAATATCAAAATTAGTGTTGCCCAAATGCAAGAACAAGACGAGACTTAGCAAGTCTTGGTCTTGGTCTTGCGCCAATACACCTGGTCTTGGTCTTGCGCTCCCAGTCTTGGTCTTGGTCTTGGTCTTGCAGCAAGAGTCTTGCAAGTCTTGCAATTACCTATTAGACTATTGCCATTTATTAAAGTTTGCTTTAGATCTTAGAAAAACGTATTAGAATTGGAACATTGTGAGCTTGAATTAACATGGCCATAGAAAGACCAATCATAATCCCATATAATCAATATTATAATATATACTAAAATAAATTATTATGACATCTACATATTACCGTGTCTACTACCTATCCTTACCATTATCTAATCATAATACTACTTGCGTGATCAGTATAATGTATTCGTTTCCATTCTAAGCACTCTGAAACTTATTTATTCTTTGGAACACCTGGAGGCCTACTGTATTTCAACGAAAAACGAAATTTCGATACGTTCCCTACTCTGTTTCCTTTTCATTTCGAAAATTCGTTCGTCCGAAATATTTTGACAATTAAATTCTCGAAGCCTACTCTAATTCACAAAACTTTCGAAGGAAAAGTTGAATTTGACAGATAATTGTTCGAAATTTTAACCACAAATCGACGAAATGAAAAGTGTTACCTTTTCATTTTCGTTTTGAGATTTTTGTTATAATTAAGCCTAAAATACTTGCAAGAGTATTTTTAATAATAGCTGCTTAGCTCGAGTAACATTTTTAGCATGTAAAATTAAGAAATAAACCATTTTTTTATTATTTTTTGTAATTTCGATACTTCAAAGTATTAAACGACAAATTGAGGTTGACATACAGTAGATTGTATCGACTCTACAAATTAGTCGGCTAACACTGTCAAAGAAGGTTCTTTTAATGTCATCAAAAAATTTGCCGTAAACTACCTATATTGTTTCCAAGTAAAAAAAACGTTTTCTTAAAAGTAGAGATAAAAAGAACTCACAAACATGACTCATACCATTCGTTCACGAAAACTGTTTATGGTTCCGAAGTTAATGTGCCTGTTCGAAAATGAAATAGAGTAGAGACACTGGCGAAATTTCGTTTGAAATTCGTTCGTTACCGAAATTTCGTTTCGGAGAAAGAGAGTAGAGCTCCTGTACTCTAAAATTCGAAAATCGAAGTTCGTGTCGTACAGTCTCGCTCGCTCATACATTAAATAGTATTAGCGTAAGTGGGACGGCACGACACAAAATTAGAATTTTGCATGAGTATACCTAGGCCCTGTGGCGGCAATCAAATAGTGTCAAATGCTGTAATTTCGGCGCGGCGGCAACGATTGTTGTATGTGATTTCAATAGAAGCCGCCGGCGCGTGTATATATATTCGTATTTAGCTTTATATCGCCGTTCGTGTTTTTCATTTTTCCCAAAGGTTGACTGGGTAAGAATGCTTTAAGCCTTTTGCACCAATGTTATATATTTATATTTTGGTCAATAAAGTTTAAAATAAATAAATTAATATATAGTACACTAGCAAACCCAGCGAACTCCGTTTCGCCACCAGATAGCTTCGTTTTATGTAACATTTCGTTTTGTGATTAAAAGAAAACGATTTTTTTTTAATTTTCTTTGCTATAAACCTCACGGAGCCCGAGACCTTTCCAACGAATGCAAAACCGTGGAAATCGGTTCGTGCGTTCTGGAGTTATAGCGTCAGGAAGGAAAACCCGACTTATTTTTATATAGTAGATGATCATCACCTGTGCCTGTGCCGCGTCGGAGTCGGATTCATTGGAGTCGTGTGCGGGGAGAGGCGAGTGCCGGCGCCGTCCGCGCGGCCTGCCCTTCATTTTGGGAGCCAGCTCGTTGCAAACAAACTCGTGCCCTTCCAGCTCGGGGTATTCGAACGTGTCCTGAAATACAGCCCCGGTTAAAAAAAAAATGGGTGCGTGTACTTATGTAGGCGCGTGAGAAGTTATCCTTCTTTGGCATCGTTTAAAATTAGTTTTTAATTGCATGCAAATAATTAATTACAATAAATTAATAAAAAGTCTGGAAAAGGACACAGTCAATAAAGTTCAGTTTTAATTTGAAAAAATAAATAAATAATCAAAATATTCAATTAAAATCGCTACTGAATATAATTTATTAGAACATATGTGATTTGCACTTGTATGAAACTCAAACACGTATTCCGAATATACAAACTAGAAAAATGTGGATAAATATTATAAATATGAATACCTATAACTGTTACTTTATTACAAAAAATAAAGATGTGGTTTTTGGTTCTACTACACCAATGGTCAAGAGATGGCGCTGTAGTCTCCTGAATCGCGCTTTGGTTCCGTTGTTCCAGATTAATAAATACTTTTGATAGGCCTTCACAATGCAGTCGTTAGCACCCACAAAATAGAGATTCTATTTCGCTTTAGCGACCAACTTCATGCTGTTAATTTTTTGTGTTACAGTGATGCGCGCGCATCTTAAAATTTCACTCTCATCATTTTTTCATAACGCGCCTAAAGAAGTATAACTTCAAAAATTGTGTGTGTCAGCTCCGACGCACGACTGGAGTTTACTCCTTAAGTTCGATAGTCTAACCAGACGCAAAAAGAGTTTATTTAACTTTAAAAATATTGATACTGTATGAAAGGGTAAATTAACAAATTAATGAAAATAATATACATATATATTAATATATATTTATTCATTTCATATACATTTATTATAACTAATCGACGAAATATTTTACATTAAACTTTTTACAATAGTCAATTCTGAAATTCTGCATAAATATATCATTAGGAATGTTGATAAATTATGTAATTATTATTATCAGACTATTATAATTTTTTTAAATATTAATTAAACCAACATTGTCTGCATTATTAATTACAGTGTCAAGTGGTATATGGTAACTAAAATAAGACACATGGTCGTTCGTAGAAACGTGGTTCACGAATCGTGAAAATACCGCATCAATGGTTGTACCATACCTCGTTGTCCCCATTGCTCTATCAGAAACAATATCTAAATTCAGTTCAGATTTAAAAAAAAATATTAATGTCAATCCGTCATCTTTGTTTGTGAAAGTTGCGCGACATAGGATGCGCACCAAAAACGATAGATTTTACTCCTCACATTTTTCTCATACCGGGCCCCTTATATATGCAAATCGATTCTTAAGGAGTAAACTCCAATAATGTATGATGCAGTAGAAAACATAATTTGTGTTCATCCCGCAAGAGTGGGGAGTGCTGGTGGTGTTCTGAGATACAGGCGTTCTACATAGTTCAGGCACCAGTCTCTGACAATCTTTATGACTGTCCGTCATATTCAAATATATTTATTGTGATACACGGGTACAGTGATCTTAGACTTTATAAATAACCGGTTTTGAAAATACCGGTAAATAAAGGTTAATACCGGTTTTTAGTAAAGGTTTCGTTCGGAGCGCGTCCGAAATGAAAGCGGTACCTAAAACCTTAATAAACACGCGCCGGATATCTTGAGGTTTGTTTTGTTTGAACTAATCAAGTCACAACTTATGCAGAGAGATTGGTGCATTTATTGACACGTTTGCTAGGTCTAGTGAGTCAAGTTATTCATTTATCATCGATTCCGTCAGAAAGAGCGAAATGAAGCCCTTTAAAAACCGCTAAATTGATTCAAAACCTATTTGATTTCGCTCTTTAGGAAAACCGGTTTTTTAAGGTTAAGGTAGAAACCAAACCTAATTTTGGTTGAACCTGATTTAGGTTTGAAAATTAACCGGTAAACAAGCCATGCGTACAAAAATATAACACAATACAATAAAATTATTGTGTTATATTTTAGATGAATATTTAAGTGAATTCCAATTACAAACGTTAAATTCAATGACATATTTTTTTTAGATATACATTTAAATAAACATACCTTGCAGTACAATATCCTAGTGTTGGTAGTAGGCGCGGCGTACCCCCCCAGCGCAGCCACAAGCGAGTCTCTCAGCCAGTCCCCCTGGATGCCCTCCAGGCGGGACAGCAACGCTCTATACCGGCAATACCGCGGGTACGAGAACACTACCACGCCTGGACTTTCCGTGTCCACTGAAAAGGAGATATCGAAGATTTCAACAACAGGAGTTAGGCCGACGGTCTAGTGCCTGGGTTCCGAACCTGGGGGTAATTACCCCTCCGGGGGTAAATCAACCATACTTCGGGGGTAACAAAGAAGCTGATTTATATTTGGTCAAATCTAAATAATAAGAAAATACTATATAATAATACTACTAAATACAGCATGCGCTCCTTCTTGCTAGCGAGCCCGCGGGGTGCTGAGTGTGGGAAGCGGGGCGAGATTTTCTCCTGATGATGACATTACTAGAGACGAAGATGTAGCGGTCAAATTGGAATTTCTTGCACTGATGGTAACATTTTAAAGTTGGGGTAAAATCTATTTTCCTAACAGGTTATAGGGGTGGGAAGCCAATGGATGGGAGTGGCGTAGAACCGATCGGCAGTGCCGTCTTTGACCTATTGGAGGCCCTGGGCATGTTAAGATAATGGGGCCCCTATGACCTCGTTTGGTGATTTAACAGGAACTAGGGATATTTGTATTTGATAGCCCCCCCCCCCCCCCCTAACGATCGCGGGGCCCTGGGCACTTGCCCAAAGTGCCCACTGAGAAATAGGGGTCTGCCGATCGGTGTAGAGGCTATGCTCAGCAGAAGACCATATTGGTATATGCTCTAGTGTCAGCAGTGGGCGTTGATGAAACATTTCAGGCTCAATTCCCAGCATTGGAGGGAATTCGCTAAAAAAATTATAGTGTTCACCGAGAAGCTAAAATTAGAGCAGGTCACTAGCTCTTGAAGATTTGAGAGCGCAATTCAAACCTAATGACAGCTACGTATAGGCTATGTATCCTGGGACTGCAGCTCAACAGATCATAATCAGAATTTAATTTGTAAAACGTAGGTTAGTGTTTACATACCAGTGGCTGGACGTAGGGGGCCTCTAGTCACATTGCACGATGGGTCTTCATGTCCCGGGGGCACCGCACGTCGCAGGGAGACCGGAAACGATCAATCACCTTGCGGATGTGAGGGCGGTCTTCACAGGGTACCGCAACAGCACCCGCACTCCCGGTCTGCATTGCTGGGACTGCGGTCCTAGCGGTATGTCCACGGTGCAGGGATATTGTCTGGGTTTCAATGGCCCTGTTCAGGGCGTAGGTAGGGCCCTGTACACTTCAGCTGGCTTGAAGTGGACAGGGAAGAGTTCCACATACCTTCTTCTCGCTTCCCCAGTGGTTGAAGGATGCGTGCGTAAATGTTCATCATCCGCCCAGACTACAACCTTGTCGTTAATCGGCTGAACTACCAAGCTAGCGCACTGTTCTCCCTCTGCACGTCGCTGAAGTCCATCTTGGCCTGGTGCAGGGACTGCGTGACGCGGTGCTCCTGGGTCTGCAGCTCAACAGATGCCCCGTAAGGACACTTACCTAGCGCATTTTCTCCCTCTCCACGTCACTGAAGTCCATCTTGGGCTGGTGCAGAGACTGCGTGACGCGAGGCTACTCTGCAGCTCAACAGATTCCCCGCTATGGACACTTAACTAGCGCACTCTTCTCTCTCTCTACGTCGCTGAAGTCCATCTTGGCCTGGTGCAGGGGCTGCATGGCGCGGGGCTACTGGGTCTGCAGCTCAACAGATGCCCCGTAAGGACACTTACCTAGCGCATTCTTCTCCCTCTCCACGTCACTGAAGTCCATCTTGGGCTGGTGCAGAGACTGCGTGACGCGAGGCTACTCTGCAGCTCAACAGATTCCCCGCTATGGACACTTAACTAGCGCACTCTTCTCTCTCTCTACGTCGCTGAAGTTCATCTCGGCCTGGTGCAGGGACTGTGTGACGCGGTGCTCCTGGATCTACAGCTCAACAGATGCCCCGTAAGGACACTTACCTAGCGCATTCTTCTACCCTTTCCACGTCGTTGAAGTCCATCTTAGCCTGGTGCAGGGACTGTGTGACGCAGAGATCCTGGATCTGCAGCTCAACAGATGCCCCGTAAGGACACTAACCTAGCGCATTCTTCTCTCTCCACGTCGCTGAAGTCCATCTTGGCCTGGTGCACGGGCTGCATGGCGCGGGGCTACTGGATCTGCAGCTGAACAGATGCCCCGCTACAGCTCCTGTGTTACCACACATATGTCCCACTATGAACAGTTACCTAGCGCACACTTCTCTCTCTCCACGTCACTGAAGTCCATCTTGACCTGGTGTAGGGGCTGCATGGTGCGGGGATCCTGGGTCTGCAGCTGAACAGATGCCCCGCTACAGCTCCTGTGTTACCACACATATGTCCCACTATGAACAGTTACCTAGCGCACTCTTCTCTCTCTCCACGTCGCTGAAGTCCATCTTGGCCTGGTGCAGGGGCTGCGTGGCGCGGGGCTCCTGGGGCGGTGCGCAGGCCCCGCGCCACACGGCACGCAGCCCCCATCTCCAGCCTGTGCCGTCACACACCCAGCTCAGCAGGTCCTCGGCGCGGACTACGACCTTGTCGTTGATGGCTAGCACTTCGTCCTGGAAGGAAAGACATGAGTGTTTAAAAAAAATAAAGAAAAAATACTATCCTGCAAAAACCTGTACCAATGTACATATATATATTTCATTTACTAGCTATAAAAGAAAGAGAGGGAGAAAATGTGCACGCGCACTGCTTTCTCTTGTTTATAACCCCCACTTAACTCCCGTTCGCCTCGCCCGAACACACTTTTCGTAACGCGTAACTCGTTCGCCAGCTTACTCCCCAAGTCAAGCGTACGTAAAGAAATCTGCTTATTTATATTCCCCACTCAAATCCCGTTTGCCTCGCCCGAACATACTTTTCGTAACGCGTAACGCATTCGCCAGCTTACCCTCCAAGTCAAGCGTGCGTAAAGAAGTTTCACTTCAAAAATATCATAAACAGACAGCGATAAACTGTTTCAGGAGTATCTGGTAGTCATGATCGGTATATTCTTATCTCTTATCTATTAGACAAGTCCGTCCGTCTGTCTGTCTGTGGTGCAGTTTCAGCGGCCAAACCGTAAGAGATAGATAAAGAGAATATTTAAGTTATAAGTTAAGAATAGTCTGATAAGACTACAAACCGGATTTGAGTAACGTAGCACTTTCGGTTTTCGAGAAATCACGAATTTCAAACGAAACCACACAAAATCTGCGAAGTTCTCAATTCATTAAATACATTTTTTTTTTAAATCAGGTGTTGGTGAACATTTGGTTCACTGGTTTGCTAGTCTTTTATAGTTTGAGTCTAAAAATCCGTCATTTGATGAATGGTTACAAAATAGCAATAAATTAAAGTTTACGAGCCCTTTTTGACCATAGCTAAAAAGTTGGTTTTATCATTCAGCTGCGTTTTAGCTTCAAGACGGCAGTATAGGCCGAAATAGTGATGAAATGAATGTATATAATTGAAGTTTCTGTATAGATATAATTTATTTTTAAAAAATTACTTAATGAAATTATGTTTTTATTTATTTTTATGCATTTAACTGCTAGATGTTTAAATCCAAAGAAAGGTTTACTAGAAAAAAAAATCCACGCGGACCAGGCAGCGGACGGGACTCGAACCCGCACCCTTCGCAATCCGGGCGAATGCACTGACCATTATGCTACCACGGCCTTATTCGCCGCGTCGAAATTTTCCTAGCTTTAAGCTGCAAGGCATGAAATTATTTGTATTTTAAATAATGGCTTTTATAATTGTATAGTCATCATCATCATCATCAGCCTATTAATGTCCCCACTGCTGGGGCATCCTTCCCTATGGATGGAATAGGTAGATTGGGCCATGACCCACCACGCGGGCCCAGTGCGGATTGGTGGGTGCTAACGACTGCAGATGCAGCCGGGACCAACGGCTTAACGTGCCTTCCGAAGCACGTAAGAGCTCGAGATAGTAAATTTTTGGTCACCCATCCAATGACCGACCACTGCGAAATTTGCTTAACTTCAACGATCGCAGCCGAACGCGCTAACCACTTGCGCCATCGACCTCCTCAATTGTATAGTAAAGACCCTTATTTTAATTTAATTATTTGTCTTTTGTATAAATTGCATGCCATTTTTAATGGTAAAATAATGTAGAATCCGTTTTGTATACATGCCATGTTATTGTACCATATTTTTTGTAATAAAGAAATCTAATCTAATCTATGGTCACCGTTCACTTGCCGTCGCCAGTACCCGGTGTCAGGACGAAATTGGCTCGTATTAACAAGGCATTACGACCCAATGGGCCGGAAAATTAAATGTGCGTAGTGGCCTTTTAATGTGCCGCGTCTCTTTTTAACCGAATTCAAAAAGAAGGTTCTCCATGAGGTTGGTATTTTCTTTACTTATATGTGATTTTAAATATAAATGGAAAAATCCTATGGAAAAAATGAAACGGAAATGCGTCACGAGCGTCACACGACTGTATATATATATATATATATATATATACAGGATGTTACAAAAATACAAATAAAGCTTGAAGGGCGTTGAAGTACTGTAATGGGTTTTTCCTGGCTACGGCTGTACTGTTTAACAAAGATTATAAGTTAAAGAAATGAAATTTATTTATAATTAAATAATCATGGACATAGTGAGTTACGATCCTGTACGACCATGAACTATTTATGTGAAGGAAAGTTTAAAGTTTGGATTTTTGAACGCAATTTAAAGTGACATTGGGGTTGACATTTGAGGTTATCAACCCTTCTATTTGTTATTGTTTACTAAGGATTTGATTTTAAACTCAAATTAGCTCATTGCTACAAAAAAAAGTGTTACAGTACATCATATAAGGAGTCTTCTTTAATCTTTTTAAAAATTTTTGGATGAAGTTTTAACTTTTTATAAAAACAGTATATTTTTATTAATTATTAAAAATAACTTCAAGCTTTATTTGTATTTTTGTAACACCCTGTGTATATATATATATATATATATATATATATATATATATATGTGTGTGTGTCGGATGCGTGCGCAGCTCTTTCCGACGAACAAGAAAGTTGGAGGGTAACTCGGCGAAGGCTGAAACGCTACGAGCGTCACATGCGACTATATATGCCTTATGCACCGCATAATGTTAGGTTATATAAGAAAACAAGTTTCACTTCAGATATTTTTTTCATTAATCTTCTTTGATTTATCTTATTTTTTTAATTTATTATGTGGTTAGTTTTGTCTCCTACGGATGACTTTCTCCCAGAGGGTGACTGGTAGAGAATTTTATAAGAATTAAGTCCGCCTTTTGTACTATTTTATATAAAATTATATATTAACTAGCAAACCAGTGAACCAAATGTTCACCAAAACCTGATTTCTCGAAAACCGGAAGTGCTACGTTACTCAAATCCGGTTTGTATTCTTATTAGACTATTCTTAACTTATAACTTAAATATTCTCTTTATCTATCTCTTACGGTTTGGCCGCTGAAACAGCACCACAGACAGACGGACGGACTTGTCTAATAGATATATATTAATATTATATTAGTCAATTCCTAGAGACTGAATTTTAAAGTCAACGTTTATATCGTAAATTTAAAAAGAACAATCTCGTTTTTTATTTTTGCATTTTTTTTTTAATCCAATTGTTTATTTATTCATTACTGCCTTGTGAGCTAACAGAAAATCAAAAACGCATTACAAGAGATAAAATTACAAACATTTATAATTCATATTTTTTTTAATTTGACGACCTCCGTGACCGAGTTGCTTTGTCATGATGTCGCCTAATCGAGAGGTCCCGAGTTCGAATCCCGGTGGGGGCAGATGTTTGTGTGATGAATACGAGCATTTGTACTCCAGTCATGGATGTTTAATATGTATTTCTTTATAAATCTCTTATCTATTAGACAAGTCCGTCTGTCTGTGGTGCTGTTTCAGCGGCCAAACCGTAAGAGATAGATAAAGAGAATATTTAAGTTATAAGTTAAGAATAGTCTGATAAGACTACAAACCGGATTTGAGTAACGTAGCACTTCCGGTTTTCGAGAAATCAGGTTTTGGTGAACATTTGGTTCACTGCTTTGCTAGTATACTTATATACGTATAATATATGATTTGTATTCTATCAGTTACCCTAGTATCCCATAACACAAGCCTACAGTGCTTATTTTGGGGCTAGGCTAATTGGTGTGAGTTGGAAATATTTATTTATTTATATAATGGAGGTCCAAACGTAGATCCTTGTGAAACACCACTGTCAACATTTTCGAGATACACCGGTTCCTCACTCGCACCAATTAGCCTAGCCCTAAAGTAAGCACACTTTGGGGCTAGGCTAATTGGTGTGAGTTGGAAATATTTATTTATTTATATAATGGAGGTCCAAACGTAGATCCTTATGAAACACCACTATCAACATTTTCGAGATACACCCGTTCCTCACTCGCACCAATTAGCCTAGCCCTAAAGTAAGCACACTTTGGGGCTAGGCTAATTGGTGTGAGTTGGAAATATTTATTTATTTATATAATGGAGGTCCAAACGTAGATCCTTGTGAAACACCACTGTCAACATTTTCGAGATACACCGGTTCCTCACTCGCACCAATTAGCCTAGCCCTAAAGTAAGCACACTTTAGGGCTAACCTAATTGGTGTGAGTGTTGGAAACATGATAATTCAATACCTAAAAAAATAGTATGTAATATAATAATAAATATGTTTATATATTAATAAGAGGCAACCCTAAATTCGGCCTAAAAGGGTGAGGGATGGCGAAGTAAAATTGCTTTCAAATAAGTAACCAACTCGAGGGGTCTATTCTGGACGCTATAACTAATCTACGATTATGATTTTATTTATTTTTAAGCATTTAACTGCTAGATGTTTAAATCTAAAGAAAAGTTTACTAGAAAAAAAATCTAATCTATCGGCTAATAGGGCCGTGGTAGCATAATGGTCAGTGCATTCGCCCGGATTGCGAAGGATGCGGGTTCGAGTCCCGTCCGCTGCCTGGTCCGCGTGGATTTTTTTCTAGTAAACTTTAATCTACGATTGTCGACCTAAATTGGAACTTATTAAAATTTTCTATGCAAATACTTTGCGGTCGGATACTTTACCCTTTGACAGAAAAGCAGGTAAATTTTTTACACCTACAGTCAAACGAATTCATTATTCGACACGTGGATTATTTAGAACATCAAATCCGCATATATGTAAACATGAACACGACGACGTTGAAACTGGGACTACAATAAGCTTACCTGTTGTTATTGATAAGTCGTCCGAACAGTTATGCAACCGATCACTAGATGGCACTAGCGGTTGTTCAAAACAAACTACAGTCCAAACAAACGTCAAAACATTGTGGAGCATACCCTCAACTAAAAATAATAGTGATAGTACTCTAAAGAAAAATAAGCTGTTAGTGTTAAGTAGTAATAAATCTAATAAAGTGTTAAAATTAGCCCAAAAAGTGTTTGATAACAAGTTTAACATTTATCACTATTTGTCACCGGGTGCAGGTATGGACCAATTATTATTAGGTATTGAACAAAAATTGCAAAACTTTACTTTGGATG